ATTAAAAAGCTCGAACTATATGGAATCACTGGAGTCGTTTTAAAATGTTTAAAGAGTTATTTAAATAATCGTGCTCAATATTTACACATTGACGATAAATCACCAAAAACGTTACTAAATATTACTTGTGGCAAGCCACAAGGTTCTATACACTTTTTTTTTATATATATATTAATGATCTTCATAAAGCATCCAGCTTCATAGACGAACTCATTTAAAGCCTCTCTTTAAGAAAAATAAATGTTATATATATATATATATATATATATATATATAAATATATATATATATATATATATATATATATATATATATATATATATATATATATATATATATATATATATATATATAATATATATATATATATATATATATATATATATATATATATATATATATATATATATATATATATATATATATATATATATATATATATATATATATATATATATATATATATATATATATATATATATATATATATATATATCAACTTAACGTATAAAATATTCTTTGTTTTATGTTCAAATGTAAAACGAAGTTATCCCCGCCTCATTTTCATAGTTTATTTATTAAAAAAACAAAAAAATTATATAAAATCTACGAAATAATGGTTTTTTGATGCAACCATTTTCGAAAACTAATCAATGTAAATTTTGCGTATCATTCCGGGGACCGTATCTTTGGAACAAAATTGTATTAAACAACTTTGATTTTTCTTTTGAATAGAATTACATATCTTTTAAAAAAAAGTTGAAGGAAGTAGTTTTTGAAATTGACAATACACATATGTACTTTTAAACATTTTAAAATTCTATTTATCTTTTATTTATATCGTTTTATATGATTTGTAATGTATGATTTTTCTTGATATGAAAAAAATAAAAACCAAATAAAAAGTCAATAATACCACTATATTTGTAGTATCAAGGAGATAATTATATGGGAGAAATCCAATAAAGTTATTACTTTTCTATTTTCTAGTTGTTAAAGTAATAAAACATATGGATGCTAAGCAATTAAGGTATCCATAGCAACAAAAAGTAAAAACTAATGTCACCATTAAAACCCCAACCCTTAAATAAACAGTACAAAAATGGTTCTTAAAATCTATTTTATACGACGAATTATTAGTTTTGTCCAGCAAAAGTGAATTCTGGCTCACTGTGCAATCCTATCTAAAACAAATAAGATTACTTTTTTCAAAATCAGTTATTAAAAGAAATGAGCATATTTCATCAGGTTAATCATCATACTTAACAAGTTATGTGGTTCGTTTAATGTTTATTTGATTAATTTGTACCACTTGCACATATTCCCAAAATACTTTAAAAGAATGTTTTTCTTTAACACGGTTTTGTATTGAAAAATCTTTATAATCGGATGGATTGTTTTACTAAATTTTGATAAGGAATATTTTTTTTGTTGCTCCAATAATTTGTTTAGTCATGCATCCTGAATTTTTTTCATTAGTTATTTCTTTTTTTTTCAGCTGCATCACGTCTTATATAAGGCTTTAAATTATTAATTATATTAAGTAAAGACTGTTTGTTTGATCTTAAATTTGCTTGAATGACAATGAGGAGATTTTGATATCATTCCTCCGCAGACAAGTTTATATTTTTGCTTCCGTCTACCTTTGTTTTACAAAATAGAATTTTGTAACATTCGATTGTCACACACTACCTAAGATTATATGATAAAAATATAGTCGAGAAAGAACCACTTTTGCTTTTAATGGCTCTTCTATATTGCATAACTTCAATGTTGCATATCTTCAAAATCTATCAGATGTGTAAAACAATCCATTTTTAAATCCATTATAGATTTTTTTTTCCTTTTTATTACTTTATTTACTTTTCAAAACATTTTGTTTTTGCTTATTAGTATTGTTTTTTTAGGAATTTCAGATGCATTCTCTGTTTTATAAGTAAAATTGCCACAGGTGGAAAAAAGGCTAAACCTAACAACCTTTACTAATATTTTTTTGTTGTTTCTTTAATTGATGGTGTCAACTAATTTATTAATCTTTTTTGCTGAGGCTTTCTTAAAGCAAAACAGTTTAACATTAAAATCCACGCAAAATTCACAATTTATTCCATGATAAGATGTATCTTTTGTTAATGTCAAATACCAATGATAAATACTTTTATTGATAATTTTACCTAAACAAATATAGATTTTCTAGTCATCCTTTCGAACAAATATAAAAATTTATAAAAACTTGATATACATAATATTAGTATGATATATATAAATTAAAAAAAAATAAAGCACTTTGAAATTAATTTAAATTAGATAAGTATTTTATTAATGGATACCCAATAAACACACACTATTTAGCCCAATAGCGAACCAGACTCGGCTGCCGAGTTGTACCAGGCCTAACACGCCAGCACCGTGCCAGCGCCGGGTTGCTCATTGGTTTTTGAAAGGCCCATTATACTCAAGCCAGTGCTGGCGCAGCAACTTTTTGCTAACGGCAAGACAGCATTGATTCAATTTAGGGCCAACGCTAGCAATCAGCGAACGTTGCACTTAACTCCCACTATACAAAATTGTCCAATTAAACTACTTTTTTCATGAATTTTTACTAATTTCACTTACTATGTATATATATATATATATATATATATATATATATATATATATATATATATATATATATATATATATATATATATATATATATATATATATATATATATAAACAATGCATTTTTAAATTACTTTTTTCTGGGATGTAGTTACATCCGAATAAAATCAGATGTGTAACTACATCTGGTTAAATTATACATTATTAAAAAAAAAAGATTCGTATGCAGTTACATATATAATTATTATATTATAAAAGTGCTGCTACTAGGGTTGGGACTATTGTAATTGTAATGAAAACAATAACAGTAACAATAACTATTGTTATTGTATTAACTTAATTTAGAAACAAAAACAATACATGTGAGTTAAAACTATTGTAATAATGTAATGCAATAACAATAAATATTGTATTGCAATTCATCTTTATAGAACAATATCAATATTTTAAAAAAAAAATGTATTGTAATGACCCACTACAATAACAATAAATATTGTATGTAATTCGTCTTTATAATACAATAACAATATATTGTTATTGTAATAAAGAAAATTATTTTAGAGTCAAAATTTAATAAATGTTTTAACAGTCCGGTCTCTGAGATAAGTGACCTTAAAATAGGATACAACTAATATATAAGTATTGATTCTGTTTCTTTTTTATTTTATAAACTTTATATAGCTCTATTAAAGTGAGTTTAATCGGGCCTGTATTTCTTGTACTGCTGGGGATAGACATGAATAACTACTACCATTTCTTCCACTAAGTTATTTGCTTTTACAATAGGCACCTATCTAATTGTCTCAAAACTTACTCAAGTCACACTTACTCCAATATAACTTTGTCTTTGTTTTCCTTCGGCTTTATGGCTGTCTGTGTTTCATAAAGTAACTGGGCATCAAATTATAAACGAGTTTTATTACATAAATCAAGAACCAATATTTATTTAGTGTTCTAAACTGCCTCATTTTTCAAAAATGATCCAGACAAAATTCATTAGTACGGTCTGATAGGACCAATGATGAACAATCTGAAAATGTAGAAAATTTTTTAACAAAACAAAAGTAGTTCACATTTTAAGACAATCTAATCGATACTTGTTAGGTTAATGGTTCTTTAAATCCATAACGATTTAATTGATTACACATTACCGGTTAGATATATTGAAAAAAAGCGCTCAATTTAATTAATCAATAAGTTTAGACGTCATCATCCGGTGAAACATGTCAATATCAGTTTAGACAAAGTTATAAAAAAACATAAAATTTTACTTCTTAATGTAAATAATTATTTAATTACAAGCATATGATAAATTATATATTTGTATGATTTTGAATGAACATTATTTATGTTAATTCTAAATATATTACTATTGAAATAGTTATATTATTGAACTCAAAATAAATAAAATTTATATATGTAAATGGTTTCTAGAAACCTAATATTTATTAAGTACACGTTCTAGGTATTACGTAGTATATATACTTCTTTGGCTTCCCTGGGTTCACTTCACTTCTTCAAAATAAATAAAATTTATATATATAAATGACTGCTGAAAACGAGCGTCACGGGCACCCTGAACCTATCTAGTGCCCAAATAATAATCAATGCGTGAAAAAAGAGTCTAAATACTATAAAATACAATAGCTATTAGACTATGAAATAGTAATATAATACATCAATGTACCTATCTTAACTGTTTTTTATCCCAGCAATACAATACAATAGTTATTGTAATTGTTTTACTTCACAGCAATACAATACAATTTTAATTGCATCTCTGGTATTACAATACAATATTATTGTATTGTATGTGTTATTGTTTTTAATTTTTACAATAACAATAACAATAGTCTTAACCCTAGCTGCTACATCGACTGACAAATAGCCTGACTCGCAACGGATTGCTGCTACATCGACTAAGGGTTTGGTTTGGGCATGCAGTCTATCAAATAATTTAAAAAAAAAAATTATGCCTAAAATAATGCATTATAATATTTTTTTTTTGGCGGGTGTAGTTACATCCGAAAAAAATCTGATGTGTAACTATATCTGGTTGAAATAATGCATTGAAAAAAAAAAAAATCGGATTTAGTTACATCCGAAAAATCTACAGATGTAGTTGCACAACACACACACACATTTAATAAATGACAATCATGTGAAGAAAACAATGAAAGACAATTTTAAATATATATATATATATATTATATATATATATATATATATATATATATATATATATATATATATATATATATATATATATATATATATATATATATATATATATATTTATTATTATATTAATTAACTTACCTTCAATAACTTTACGAAATTAAAAAATTCGAAAAATTATTTTTGAAGATCACCTTGCCCTTTCCAATTCAACCTTTTCCTACTTCTTTTTTTGCTGCTACTCCCTTCACCTTAAAAAAAATTGCTACCACTAGTAAAACAATTTAGTTCATTTTTTTTTATTAACATTAGTTATAATTCATAAAATGTTTTGCAATAGGTTACAAATTAGTAGTCAAAAAACCTTAATCACAGAGGTAATTATGATCACTTTTTCTAATCTCGTTTTACTTTTGTTTAATACAGAGACAGGTGTCAGCAGACAAGACTTTTTTAATTCTTGATGTTCATTAAAATCTTGTGAGTCACTATCATAATTTTCATCAAATTACTTCTGTACTCTAAACACAAAAGTCTTATGTTAAAATATAGTTTTTAAAAATTTTTATGGTTTATTATAAACACCTTAAAGTATAGATGAAATACAAAACAATACCTTAAGGTATTACGATGTTCAGTAAAAATAATTTTAAGGCTAAACATTAACGGAGTTAATAAGTGTATACTTTAGTCAATAAATAATAATTAAAACTTTGTGAAGTACTTGTTATAACTCAACGCCAAATTAAAAATTAAAAAAATAATAAAGAAATATAATTAAGGTTGAATAAATATATATAATAAAGACAAATAAAGGTAGGGGATGATGACAATGATGATGAGATCATACAAAGTATAGCACAAAAAATACATATATATAAAGAACTTTATTTAAATGCATGAATTTAAATAAAGTTTTAGGTTGCATTAACATTTAAGCAGCTCTATTCATAGATCAGCAAATTAAATCAGTGAATTCTTGTGTGATATTATGCTGAGAAGATTAAAATGCTAAATCACCCTCTAGTTCATCTATTACAATATTCTTATCACTTTTATCTGAATCGTTATCAGATAAAGCTTTAAGTTCACTAATTTCGTTTTCAATTTGATAAGAAATATTGAGGTTATTATCCAAAGCAGTGGTGTCGGAAGGTTTATTATGTGAAGTATTCAACTCATGTTTTTTGCAATTGCTTTGAACGACTATTTTGGGCAAAGCGTCAATAGACTGAGAAAAATAAAACCCAGTTTTACCTATGTAATCAAAGTTATAGGCTCCATCAATAGCCATTTCTCCTCGATTGATTTCGTACAAATAAATAAATCAAAGTTAAAATAAAATAGTTTTAACTTCTCGAATTTTTTTTTCTTTCAGTCCAATCCTCGCAGTCGGAAAGTCACGTGGTTATGCAAAATAACAATACCGCAAGTTGCTACCATCTTGGATGGTAGAAAACAAATGATTAATTGAGTTAATAAAGCAGTACAATTAGTACAAAAAAGTGATTTCAAGAATTTAAAAAAAGAAATATCAGTTTACAAATACTTTGAAAAGTTAGATTTTAACGCCGCAGAAAGTATATAAATAAATTTGCAATCCTTGGAATCAACTGATGTCTACACAAGTTCCTTGCAAATACTTGGAAAGATGATCAAACTGAATGAACATGAGTTCAATACCAAGACGTTTATAATTATTTATTAAAAGTCCGATATTGTTTTTTTTTGAGGCTATAGGTAATTATGAAGCATTAGAAGCTTATAAATATTTTGGCTTTGGCTAGATGCAGGAAGTTTTTCACAAGACATTAGGCTCTAGTTTTGTTATTTTGAAAACACAAGTTGTCTAGCTTGTGCGTTTAAAACAACAAAACCATCTTAGTCACCAGAGCTGACTGAAAATAACAAAACCATCTTACAAAACATATATATATATATATATATATATATATATATATATATATATATATATATATATATATATATATATATATATATATATATATATATATATATATATATATATATATATAATATATATATATATATATATATATATATATATATATATATATATATATATATATATATATATATATATATATATATATATAAATATATACATATATATATATATATATATATATATATATATATATATATATATATATATATATATATATATATATATATATATATATATGGTAAGCAAGAGTTTAAAGGTAATTACATAAGACCGGACCGCACGCCAGCTGAGCAAACTGAATTTGCAGCTTAACTAAAAGAATTATATGAAGCAAATAACAATTTGAAGAAACATGGTAATCTAGACAATCCCTTTCGGTTTGTCATCCGCAATAACAGGGTCCGTTGCGTTGATGTCACAGAGACCCAGGATGTTAATGGAACCAACAAGTTCATATTTGCTGGAGAAAGTGCAGCGAGAGCGGCAAGACGTGCTAAATTTGTCAAACGAAATAAGTCATCTGAGCGACAACATCATAATTAAATTAGACAAAAATGTCATATTCAACTCACCAAATAATTACAAAAATACCATATCTTCAGAATCAGGTAAACAATTTATGAACTTTTTATACACTAACCCAACATCTTTTACGCAAAACAAACTACATGAACTTGAATCGATGTTATCTTATACAAATCCGTCGGACGTCATAATGTTAACTGAAACATGGTTCACTAATTCATCAATTGTAAACATAACAAATTTCACTAATTTTAGGAAAGATCGTGATTCTAAAGGTGATGGTGTATGTATTTATGTTTCGAATCATCTTAAGTCATTAGAAATAACTGACAATCAGCTATGTAGAGAGAATATTGAACAGATTTGGTGCAATATAAAAATTGCTTCTGAATCGATTTTAGTAGGATGCATTTACAGACCAAATGACGACGCAACAACAATTAATGAAATACTGAAATCAATTAAACGAGCAAAAGAACTAAGAAATAAAGGCCTATTTACTAGCATAGTAATTGCGGGAGATTTTAGTTTAGCCGGCATTGAATGGGATAGCGACAGTACATCCAGAACTTCCACACAATATGAACAAACATTTATTGAAACGTTACACGAAAATAATTTTTTAACTCAATTAGTCAATTTTCCAACATTTATTAAAAATCATGATGAATCAGCTAAAACAACTTTGGACTACATAATAATGAACCAACCTGAACGGCTTGATCAACTACTAGTCTTTCCTCCCCTCGGTGCTACTTGCAGAGGTAGAGGTCATCTAGTTCTTACCTGGCGCTATTTATTAAATAAATCAACAACCAATAATTACGACAATAATTTAAGAAAAAAATATGCATTCGACAAAGGTTATTATGAATTAATTAAACAATTCTTTAATAAAATAGATTGGGAGTCAAAATTTACCAACTCAAGTATTGATGAAGATTATGAATACTTTGTTAAAGAATATATATTAGCTTGTAATAAATTCATACCAATAAGAAATAATAAAAACAACACAAATAATCTCGAACCATGGGTAAACAAAACAGCAAAAATTGCTCTTAAAATCAAGCATAAACTCTACTACCGTGCAAAAAATAATAATAAAAATAATAATTGGCGTAGGACACAAAAAACGAAATCAAAATACAATAGGGCAGCTAAACAGGTAAAAAAAGAAATATTTAAATCAACTTTTGCCTTTGAAAGACACTTAGCTCATGAGTCAAAAAAAAATCCTAAATTAATCTATGCATATATCAATAAACGTCAACAAGTAAAACGTGCAATTAGATCACTATATGATAAGATAGGTAAAATCACAAACGATCAGATAAATATTGCGAATACGATTAACAATCAATTCCAATCAGTTTTTGTCAAAGAACCAGACGATGAGCCAGTTTTTCCAATAATCACAGAACATAAATGTTCTCTGTTAACTATACTACAAGATATCAACGAACAAACTATCAAAATTAGACTCGAAAACGTTGACACATCCAAATCAATCGGTGGTGATAACATTCACCCATTTGTTCTCAAACATGCATCAGCGGCTATCGCGATACCACTAAGCCTTATATTTAAAAAGAGCCTTGCAACACAAACGGTACCACAAAAGTGGACAGAAGCAAATGTTACTCCTGTATTTAAACAAGGTAACCGTTTATTAGCTGAAAACTATCGTCCTATATCTTTAACATCTATAGTATGCAAGATCTTAGAAAAAATAGTAAGAGAAGCTTTAACTGCACACTTAAAGCTTCATGGTCTACTTTCAAATTCTCAACATGGATTTACCACTAAGAAATCCTGTTTATCAAACTTGTTAGAAACTTTTAATACTATAACTAAGGCCCTAGCTCAGGGTCACAATGTGGACGTAATCTACTTGGACTACGCAGAAGCGTTTGATACTGTGCCACATAAAAGACTGTTAGCGAAACTATTATCTTATGAAATCGAAAACGATCTTGTTAAATGGATAAGGGCCTTTCTCTCTAATCGTCGTCAGAGAGTAGTACTAGGGGAAACGGTCTCTGACTGGTGTAATTTTACAAGCGGAGTACCACAGGGCTCAGTTTTAGGGCCTCAACTATTCAACATCTACATTAACGACTTACCACGTCTATTAGACAACACTAGTAAACTATACGCGGACGACACTAAAATAAATTTAATTGTAGACACGCATCAGCAGTCGTTAAATTTACAAAACGATCTCAATAAAGTTCAAAATTGGTCCAAGACTTGAATAATGAAGCTAAATACTAAGGAACGCAAAGTTATGCATTTCGGTAAGTTTAATAACAATTTTAAATATCAGATGCAAGATACGTTATCAAATAATAATATGCACACTTTTGAAACTACCACAGAAGAGAGAGATTTAGGTGTTATACTAAACTCGGATTTAAAATGGAAGCCACACATTGATAAAATAACGAATAAAGCAAACAGCGTATTAAAAATGCTAAAAAATACATTCACTTGTCGTGAAAAAGAACTTTGGAAAAAACTTTACACCAGTCTTGTTAGACCACATCTAGAATACGCTTCTACTGCCTGGAATCCCTCTTTAGCCAGTGACATCGGTAAAATTGAAAAAGTTCAAAAAAGAGCTACGAAATGGAGCCAACCTAATACTGCCTACGCAAACCGACTAGCTGACTTAGGCTTAACGTCATTAGCTAAAAGAAGAGAAAGAGGCGACTGTATCAAAACTTTTAAAATAACTAATAAGATAATAAACATCGAAGACGCATTTTTTAATAAAAAACAATCAAATAATTTGAGAGCATTTAATAATCATCAACTCTAGAAAGATATATACTCCAGCAGACAAGCAAATGATTATAGTAAAGCTGTGAAGTTTAGAGATAACTTTTTATCAAACAGGGTCACACAAGTATGGAATTATTTGCCTAATTCGGTCATAGAAGCCTCGGGAGCTACATCTAAAGCGGCAATCAATAAATTCAAAAACAATTATGGTAAAATTCAAAAAGATAAAATTAACTCAAT